TATCTTCTAGACGAAATTAAGAAACTACAGCAAGATATCCTTCCAAATGTTAAGGGTACGTACAAATCTTTATACATGATCATAGATTTAACAAAGAAAAAGTAATAAGTTTATGGGTTTTCTGTTGTTTTAGATGTTTGATAATTTGAATCCAAAAATATAAGACATCTAAGATTTTAGGTATAAATCTGTTAGCATTTACAATTTTAATATTAAATATCTAAGCATTTTGTTAATGACACCTTGCATGGTCTATTTGCAAACTGTAGTTAATAAATAATAAAAAGAAAACTAAAATAAAACGTTTTTTTTTTCAGATGAAATTAAGAAACTACAACATGTCATTCCTCCAAATGTTAAGGGTATGTACAAATCTACAAAACATGTATGATTGTGAAATTTACTATGAACAAATTATTAGATTTGTCTTTAGGTATTCTGTTTCAAATATTTGATAAATTGATTCATGAAAAATATTCACATAAAATGTTTATATCTAGCACTTTGATATCTGTCTCCCATTTCAACAACAGCTGGGCTCTGCTGGTCAAAACCTAAAAATATTAATCTTTTAAACATTAAATGAATTCAGTTATATGAAAGTAAGCAAAGTGAGAGATCCGTGTCAATTACGTTTTAGACTTGAAATTCCAGCTGCATAGGGATAAGTTGGTCATAATAAGAGGAATTCAAGTTTAATCAACCCAGATGGAAGCAAGTATGGCCTTCCATGAATGTAATATTATGTCTACGGCGGATGTTTACTCCTCCATGCCACCTGATCCCAGCACTGATGTTTTGGAGCTCCGTGTTTGCTATGCTCCTTTTTGTATTATTATTATGGACTTTTGATCTTGAAAATTAATCGTTATATCCATATCTTTTATTTGAATTAACAATAGATACTTAAATACATATATCGACTCAATTCACCCCTTCAACATGACACAAGAGGCTCATGGGCCTAATGGTCACCTGAGCATCATGCAACAACTTTACAATGATAGAATTTGGTTCATGTTTTAAACTAGACATGAAGGCATTCACAATTTTGAAAGAGGCACCATTCCTTATCATAACTTAGCCTGTTCAGTTTGGTTACTAAATACTCATAGACGGAGTAGGGGAACAAAATAATTCATTTCGACTAATCAGTAATATTCAGCAATAATCAGTATAGTGCCATTACCACAAACACCGTACCCATGGTCCACACATTCACAATTTTGGAAAAGGCATTCTTGCTTATCATAAATCTTTGAATAATACCAAGGAGAAGACTTCAATCACTTTATTCATTTTCAGTATATAGTAGAGCCACCCCCTCCCCCTATAGTACCCCTGACGACCCAGGGGCATTGAAATTCACAATTCAGGAAGAATGGCCCTTGCTCATTAAAGCTATATAAGTAGTTCATCTGCTTTAATACCCAGCAGCAGAGAAGATTTTTCAAATAATTTCTGCATTTTCTCTATATAACCAATAGAGCCCCGCCCTAACAACAGAACCCCTGACCCTGGGGTAATAAAATTCACAAAGGCATTCTTCTTCATCATGACTATATATGTATTTAGTTAGTTTATTTAATACTCAGGAGCAGAAAAGAAAATTTTCATAGAATTAATGTATTTTCACTATATAATCAATAGAGCCCTCCGTAACACCAGAACCTCTAACCCAGGGGCCATAAAAATCACAATTTTGGAAGAGGCATTCTTGCTCATCATAACTATATACTTAGTAAATTCGTTGAATACCCAGCAGCAGAGAATAAGATTTTGAAACAATTTCTGCATTTTCTCAATATAATCAATAGAGCCCTGCCCTAACACCAGAACCCTATGACACCGGAGTCATAAAATTCACAATTTTGGAAGAAGCATTTTTGTTCATCATAACGATAATATCTGCATTTTCTCTATATAATCAATAGAGCCCCGCAGTAACATGAGAACCCCTGACCCTTGGGCCATAAAATTCGCAATTTTGGAATAAGCATTCTTGCTCATCATAACTATGTCCTTAGTTAGTTTATTTAATACACAGGAGCAGAGAAGAAGATTTTAAAATAAATAATGTATTTTCACTATATAATTAATAGAGCCCCACCCTAACACCAGATCCTCTGACTCTGGGGACATAAAATTCACAATTTTGGTAGAGGCACTCTTGCTCATCATAATATGTCCTTAGTTAGTTTATTTAATACCCAGGAACAGAGAAGATTTTAAAAGAAATAATGCATTTTCATTATATAAACAATAGAGACCCATCCTAGCACTAGAATCCCTGACCCTGGGGATATGAATTTCACAATTTTGGTAGAGGACTTAATGGACATTACATTCATACTAACAGTTTGACTGCTTGATGTCCAGGAGCAAAGAAGAAATTTTTAAAGATTGCACTAATTTAGTGGTTTTTCTCCCACCCCTTAGGCCCCAGGGGGGCAGGGTCCATGAAATTCACAATTTTTGTTTCCCTCTACCCATACATGCTTTGTGTAAAATTTGATGGAAATTGGTTAAGTGGTTGCAGAGAAGAAGCTGAAAATGTTCAAATGTTAACATACAACGACGGACGAAAACGGATAACAATAGGTCACCTGAGTTTACTCAGGTGACCTAATAAAATACACCACAGAATCTGATAAATCTGACACATCTGTTTTATATTAATTTGTTTAAATATTAGCCTTCTTGAAAATTCGTACACTGGATTATCTTGGCCTTAATTGTACTTGTGTCGGAATGATATTGAAACAACTGAACAAAGCTTTCTTATCAAAATTTAAATTGGGAAATGGATTACTGCAGTATCTAGATGGAACATGACTATTTTTATATGCAATCAATTTCATGTAATTAGCTCAACATTATTAAAAATCGAGCATAGGGGCTTTTAAAATACGTTATTACTCACTTAGAGGTTAAGAAAACAAACAGTGGTCAATCTTATATATGCATTTCACAAAAAACCATGAATTTAGAATAAGAGTTAAAAAAAATTGTATTTAAAAATTGTAAATGAAATGAATTTGAAACTAGTAAGATATAATGATACATTTTTAATGCCGGGTACCTCAACCACAAAACATTACCTCCAAAGAGCTTCTTTCCAACTACATAAAAATGTTACATAAAATACAACAGTCATACATAATAAACAAGAAACAATTTAAAAAATACATCACATTACTAAAATATCACTATTACAACATGACACTTTACAATGACATAGTATTATATAAGACCAACAAATGAATAATATAACTTGAGCATTATATTGCAAATTTTGAGAACAACTCTCTCTCTCTCTCTCTCTCTCTCTCTCTCTCTCTCTCTCTCTCAAAATATTTTTTTCAATATCTAAAATATACTAGTATCTGTGTATTTCCAATAATGGGTGTATGTACTTGCAATTTGTGTAAAAGTACAAAATTTTAAAATTCCCAAATGACCATGAATGTACATTGACCTTTTCGTCTTCCTGTTTGCTTTTAATTCACTGGAATCATTTAAGTTTGCTATAATACGAGGGCTATTCGTTAAATAGTGAGACTTCTTCAATAAAGTAAGAAATAACGTATGATTCTTCTCTATTTTATTTACATCCCTTCAAAATAATCACCCTTTACTTCAACATATATTTGAAGTCGTTTTATTCAGCTTTGGAACGCGCCTCTATACTCCGAAAAAGGTATACTCTTCAGACTCTGATACACAGCTGAACCCAATGCAGAACGAGAATGAAAACGCCTTCCAGATAGCATTTTTTTCAATTTAGGGAATAAGAAAAAGTCACATGGGGATAAATCTGGTGAATAAGGGGGTGATCAAGTTGCTGAATTCCATTTTCCAACAAGAAATCTTGCGTGTACTTTGCAGTGTGTGCTGGGGCATTATCATGCAAAAGCTTGATCCCCCTCATTCCCGACCTTGGCCTTCTGTTTTTGTAGTGTTTTTGTACCTCAGACAGTATCTTTTTCACGTAAACAACTTTAGTTACACTTTTGCCCTTTTTAATTGGAATCTGAGCGACAATCCCGTTAGAATCGAAAAAGATTTCATATAAAACCTTCCTTGCTGTTTTGCCGCGTTTAGCAATGGTAGGTCGTTTACTTTGTTTAAGGAGCCATATTTTGTTTCCGAGCTTTCTCTCAGGTTCATAAAAATGTAGCCAAGTTTCATCCCCCGTGACAATTTCACACACGTCTTTTATCACACACACCATAAATTTTCAAAAGTTTTCGTGAAATTTGCAATCGCTTTCTTTTTTGTTCGTCATTTAAAATGTGTGGAATCCACCTTGCAGATACTTTCCTGACTCCTAAATGTAGTTTTAAAATTTTAAAAATGCTACCCGATGAAATGTTCAGTTTCTTGGCAATCTGGTTCATAGTAACTCTGCCGTCTCTGTCGATGATATTTTTCACTGCTGCAACTGATTTCTCATTGATAATTGATCTTGGCCTTCCTAACTGTTTGATATTTTCAACTGAATCCCTACAAAGTTTGAAATGCTTTATCCATCAATAAACACTTTTGATAGACACAACAGAGTTTCCATAAAATGACACGAGTTCTTTGAAAATTTCTTTTCCCTTGATTTTCATTAGAAAAACGATATTTGATATACGACTTGATGTTCAAAATATCCTTTCGGGACTTTCCTTCTGTCTTCATGTTAGCAGTGTCCACAGGGTGTGCCCGAAAAAGATGCTCTCTTCGAAAATTGCTTTATAAATAGGTTGTGACTACGTTTCAGATCAGAAGTATGGAAGAGAATAAACATTTTAAAGGAGGTTCCATTTCTATTAAGTGTAAAATTTAAAAGGAATATATGTAGTGTCACTATTTAATGAATAGCCCTCGTATATTTTAGATCTTCATGAAATACTATTGATACAATGGAGAGAAGAAGATGAGGTTTACAGTGAAACTCACACTTTCCAGATAATGATGAACAAAGTTCGGACACAACCTTATATGACATTTGTTGGAGTCCCGGGGTCCGGAAAGTCAGCAACGATTCATCACATAGCCCTGATTCTAGAGAAGGAAGGTTACGAGGCTGTGCCAATTATAGACATCAGTGAGATTTACCGTTATTGTGACCCTCATAATCCCCAGGTTTTTGTCATCGATGATGTGGTAGGTGTGTTCGGTCTGCAAACACAAAAGTTAGAGACTTTAGTTGACTATGAAAAAATTATTTCAGATCCGTCCAGACATACAAAGGTACTGATGTCATGCAGGGAAGCAGTGTTAAATGAATGTTACGAATCCTTTTTCAAAAATGAGGAAAACGTAATCAAAATGTGTAGTCCAGAAAATTCATTGAATGATGAAGACAAAAAAGCCATTTTTCAGAGGCACGGCTTGGATAAAGATTTATTGTCCCCTACATTACTGAGAGAAGCATCGGCGATGTTTCCTCTATTATGTAAACTCATATCAAAAGAGGCGAGTTTTAGGAACAACATTGAAAGGTTCTTAACTTGTCCAACTGCATGCATTTTAAAGGAGTTTGACAAAATGCGGGAACGGAATAGATTACATTATGCTACATTAGTCTTATGCCTGTTAAATAACAATAAATTATCAAAGGAAATATTAAACGACACAGAAAATAAGGCCTTCTACGAAATGAAATCAAAAGCATTAGAAAGTTGTGAAGTTGAGAGTTACACGGATCCATTTAAATTTGTTAAAGCATTGGCAGCTATGGAGGGGACATACACAAAACTCTATGGTACTGAGTATACCTTCATTCATGACTCCATGTTTGAAATCATTGCTCATCATTTTGGTTCTCAATTCCTAGATCTCATTTTACAATTTATGAGTAGTAGTTACATTGCTAACTATGTAAAGCTTCAAAAATATGAAATGCTTAAATTAGAGAGTGAACTAAAGCAAGCAAGTGAAAAAGTTGCAATCAAAAGTGAGGTTAAAAATGAAAAAAACATTGCTTGTGAAAGTTCACAAAAAGGAGAGAAAGAGGCTTTAAGTGCTGAAAACTGTGATAGAATGGAGTCATTTGATCTCTGTATAAGGATAGGTGAGGATCAGTACTCTTTGTTAGCAGAGCGTTTGTACAAAGATATAGAAAATATGGAGCTGTATGATGTTTTTATGAATAATGCTTTGAAACATCCTAAGGTATGTCAGGCTTTTATTGAGGTGTTAAAGACCAAGTCTTACTCAGAGTTAAAGTCTTTGTTTCTGTCAGAACAGAAAGACGTGTCTAAGGTGGTGAGTAAAGGAGAGCGTGTGACAGAGGAGAGTGAGGAGAGGGATAAGAGGAGCAGAGAGAGGCACAGACAGGAGGTGTTGGTGAATGGTATAGGAATAACATACAGTGTGAGGGTTATTAGTTGGGTAGTTTACTACGGACACAGTCAGATTATGCAATATATTTTAGAGCAAACTGATTTGCACAAAGAAACGCAGTCTGAATTTTTTTGGAATTTTTTTCATCTGGATTTCACTCAAACAACAAAACAAGATAAAAAGAATATTGCAGCAAATTATCAAATAGAAAATCCATGGTCATTCAGAGACCCGGACATTAATGGATCCATATCTGAACACAAACGTTTACTTTTGCTGAGTTGTTACAATGGAGATTTAGAAACTGTGAAAATATTTACTAGATATTTCAAAAGAGAAACAATTTATATGACTTATCCAAATTTAGACATTAAATATGTATTAGGAAACAAAACACTTTCAGCCGCTTGTGAGGAGGGACATCCGAGTGTAGTGAAGGAGCTGTTAGAGGCAAGGGCTGATGTTAATAAAAAAGATATGTATGATACACCTCTGACAGCTGCGTGTAGGGGTGGACATCTGGGTGTAGTGAAGGAGCTGTTAGCGGCAGGGGTTGATGCCAATCAAAATGATAAGTATGATACACCTCTGACAATTGCTTGCGAGGGTGGACATCTGAGTGTTGTGAAGGAGTTGCTCGGGGCAAGGGCTACTGTCAACCCATATGGTGTTTATAAATTACCGCTGATAGTAGCTTGTGATGGTGGATTTATAAATATAGTGAAGGAGTTGTTAGAGGCAGGGGCTGATGTAAACGCACAGAGTTTCTATGATACACCACTGAGAGCCGCTGCTGAGGGTGGATATATAAGTATAGTGAAGAAATTGCTCGGGGCAGGGGCTAATGTAAATCAACAAGATTACGATGGGTTGTGTAGCCACTAAACGGTGCATGTAGGGGAGGACATCTTGATATAGTAAAAGAGCTGATATTGGCAGGGGCTGATGTTAATCCAGAAATTAAATTTGATACACCATTGACAGCTGCATGTAAGGGTGGACATCTGAATATAGTAAGAGAGCTGGTAGAGGCAGGTGTTGATGTCAATCTACTAGCTGATGATTGTACGCCACTTACGGCTGCATGTAAGGGTGGACATCTTAATATAGTAAGAGAGCTGGTAGAGGCAGGTGTTGATGTCAATCTACTAGATGAGGATTGTACACCACTGACGGCTGCATGTAAGGGTGGACATCTTAATATAGTGAGAGAGCTGCTAGTGGCAGGGGCTGATGTTAACCTAGAAGGTAAGTCTGATACACCATTGACAACTGAATGCAAGGGTGGGCATCTAAATATAGTAAGGGAGTTGCTAGAGGCAAAGGCTGATGTTAATCTACAAGTTGTGTATCATACACCACTTACAGCTGCATGTAAGGGTGGACATACAGACTTAGTGAAGGAACTCTTAGAGGCAGGTGCTGATGTCAATCCACGCGGTAAAATAGATTCACCTTTAACAGTTGCAGTTAAAGTTGAAAATATGATTATATTTAAGAAGCTGCTTAGTGTAGGGGCCGATGTTAATCCACAAGACAAATTTTATACACCTTTGATAGCAGCATGTGAAGGAAAGCATGAGAGTTTTGTGAAGGAGTTGTTAGATGCAGGGGCTGATGTTAATCTACAAAGTATAAAAGAAACACCACTTATAACAGCCTGTTATGGTGGGCATTTGAAAATTGTGATGGAGTTGTTAAAGGCAGGAGCTAATGTTAATCTACAAATTAAATCTTATACAGCACTGATAGCGGCATTTTGGGGTGAACATGAAGACGTAGTGAAAGAGCTTCTAAAAGCTGGGGCTAATGTCAATTTTCAGGGTAAATATTACAAACCAATGATAATGTATTCAGGAAGACTCATATGTTCATCCCCTAAATCTTATTCAACTCTGACATTAGCATGTAAATATGGATATTTGAGAGAAGTTAAAACTCTGCTTAAGGCAGGAGCTGAAGTTAATCCTCGGGATGAATATTTCACACCACTAATAGCAGCAATTTGGAAAGGAGATATGAGTATTATGAAGGAATTGCTAAGTGCAGGAGCTGATGTCAACCTACAAGGAGAGTGTGAAACACCAATGATAGAAGCTTGTAGAACGGGACATATGAATATTGTGAAAGAGCTGCTGAAGAAAGGGACTGATGTCAATCTACAAGGAAAGTATGATACACCACTGATATCCGCATGTACATGCGGATATACAAGTATTGTGATTGAGCTGCTGAAGGCAGGCGCTGATGTAAATCTAGGAAAGCATAATACACCGCTGATAGCAGCATGTAATAGGGGGTATATAAGCATTGTGATAGAGCTGCTAAAGGCAGGGGCTGATGTCAACCTTCAAAGACAGTATGAAACACCACTGGCGAATGCAATAAAATGTAAACATTCAAATATTGTGACAGAGCTGATAAAGGCAGGGGCTGATGTTAATCTACAAGGATTGTGTGATACACCCCTGACAAAAGCAATAAAATATGAATGTTCAAGTATTGTGACAGAGCTGATTAAGGCAGGGGCTAATGTTAATATACAAGAGAAGTATAAGTATAATACACCGCTGATACTCGCATGTTCTAGCGGGCAAATAACTATTGTGATAGAGCTGATAAAGGCAGGGGCTGATATAAATGCACAAGGAGGCCATTTTACACCACTGACTGCCGCATGTAAGAATGGGTATATGGATATAGCCAAAATCTTGCTAGACGCAGGAAGTGATGTTAATAAGCAGGATAAGGAAGGAAATACCCCTCTCTACACTGCTTTTAGCATTAGTAAGGCTTTCAAACCTGTTATACTACGAATGTTTGACATCTATTGTGCAGACTCAACTATCAATAATAAAGAGGATATATCAACGGTATATATTGCATTAATTAAAAATGAAAATGGTTCTGTTAAACAATTATTAAGTACAGAGAATGAAAGTCAGTCAAATAAACTGAAGTTACATTTGTTCGACTGTTTGGTAAATATTAGACACAGTGACGTGATGACTGATAGTAAGGATGATGTGGTGGCGACTCGGAAACGATTGTGGCGTATGGAGAGAGGGGGAGATTTGTATGAGGCAATCATAAAAAGTGATTGTAGTGGTTTAAAGCATCTTTTATGTGTGGGTCTGGATGTCAATCAGTGGATACAGCTGTATAATGATTATAATGATGAGTATGATAAGAAACCTTTGTTGTTTACACTGATTGATGAGAGTTATCGTGACAACAGTTTAGTAGTTAAGGTTCAGATTCTCCTGGAGGCGGAGGTGGATGTCAATGTCAGTGTGAGGTACAGGAAGTATGATTCTGTGTCAGACAGAGAGGGTGTGTCTGTTCTAGAGAGGACACGACGACTGCTGAGTGCGTGCAGTAAGAAACAGTGGCTAAGAGATGAAGTGTTTAAGTACACAAGAGTAATCAAGGAGGTGAAGAAACATGTAAGACGATACTCTGTGTAGAAAATTTACAGAACTCTTAATTAATATGAGCGTACATATTAAGATAATCCTACTGTAAAACATTGAAAGGTAATTTTTGATAGGGTTCAAATGTTTTATCAATACTATTATATGAAGTATAGAATGAACAAAAGTCTTAATTACTATGAATGTAGATATTACAATTCCCCTATTGTAAAACACTGAAGGGTAATTTTTTAGGGTTTGAATGTTTTATTTAATACTCCATAGTATAGAATGAGCATTACCGTGTCTCAATGGAAAGACTGAAATTGGGCTAAAGAAAGGACATGGAGATAACAAACAGCACTAAATAATTTGTAAGGTGGATTCATGTTATTTGATATAGCTGGTAAACATCAATGCATATTTCTCATCCAAGCTATTTACACTCATTTTAATAATTTGAAATACATGTATTTGACTATTTAGACTGTGAATGAGAGATTTGTATCATTGTATTTCAATGTATATAAATGTTTACAAAACTAATGTAGTTTGTATATTGTTCAATGTACATGTATGCATTGTTTCACAAATTAAGGGATTTTTAATCAATATTTTTTATCAATATTGAACAAATTGTGCAATTTTACTTGCCACTGTAAATTATTTTCTTGTCAATTGTTTTCTATTATTAATAATCCCAATCGATATCTTTATTTACGAAAACTGATATGGTCCATGCAAGATCTCTTGATATTTGTGTCATCTTTTCCAATTTCTATCATCTAACAAATCATTTAATTAAGGTCTTCCGTTTCCAACGGAAGACCTTCTACTGATTCTGTTGGTCAAGATTCTTATTCTTTTTTTTTCTTCTGCTTCCTAGACCGCAACTTTGAGGCCTCATATCTCACTCATTGCTCAACGGATTTCGCTCAAATTTTCAGAGGTTATTATACAATTATGGACTCTTTTGGTGTTGAATATGGTTTGTTATTAATCAGAAAAATATCCATATTGACCGAGGCGAATATATTTTTCTGGTAATAACAAACCATATTCAACACCAAAAGAGTCCATGATTGTTTTATTATATAGTCGGGATTTGTATAGATAAGACATTGAAGGCTGTAGGACGACACCATTTTCATTTCGATCTTCCATTGTTGAAAATAAAAAAATCTCCAGATTACTGTTTGTAACCTGTTTGTTTTCCTTTCCGAGTTTGGCTATGTGTAAGACGTCCAGATGTTAAAAAATAATCCTGAAAAAGGTTTGAATAACGCAGCACAGTTAAGGTTACAAAAAGGAGGCGGAGCCTAACTTGTACGGGAAAATTGACTATGACATCATACACAATATACGTCATACAACATCTCTTAAAAATACCACAAAATGAGTTTATTTGCTAATTTCACTAGTAAGAAATCATCAAACGACATAAAAACTTACTACAGCGTGTCGTTTTGTCGTTAGTTAAATCCCACATAACAAGTTATAAACAAGTCACTGATCGCAATACACTTGTCAATATGACGTCATTTTTTACAACGTGACGTAGTTTGTATGCAGTGAGAGACAGATTCAGCAATATTTTCTCAACAAAATATGTATTCTCTAATTAAATAAAACACTATTTACAGATATTATATGGGACAATAACTTGAATTTAATGTCTTCTTTACTATTTTATTAATATATTTTCTGTGCATTACGTATTTAATTGACACTGCCATATAATTGTATGCAAGTACCTCGGAGGGTAATGTGGGAGGTCTTAATAAATCGATCTAGTGCAAGGGCATACACTCTATGGATCAAAGTAAGCTTTTACATTTCAACTACAGAACTATTAAGGTATCTGGAAAGTGCTGCGATCCTGATGAAATCTTAAAAATAATTTTATATTATCAATATTTCATGCCGCTGACCAGCAAAAAATATAACGTTCGGTCATACAAGTATAATTTTAACAATGAAATTGCAGAATTTAGACAGGATCGCAGCACTTTTTAGAAACTACAATGCGTGTTGAAAATATTTATGTACTAAACTTGGAAATTTAATTTAGTTATGCCCTTGCACTAGTGACATTTATATGTAACATCAGTACTTCAAGTCAATGTGCTTAAATCGCGTGACTGCTGCATCACGTGACTAGTCTAAATATAAAATATAATCGTCTTCGATATGAAGCTATTAATCATAATTACAATTATCCGATATAAATAATGTACTAAAAATAATCGCCATCCCGATTACGAATACATTTTTAAATACAAAATTTAGTCGATATTTCCATTGCGCACCTTAACTGTATTGCGAACCGTTTTCCTGCTCAGTTACGTAGCTCGCTGCGGCCGTTGCAACCATTGTTTACAACGTTGTTTGATATTTTGATTGTGACGTCACAATGCCGTTGCACGCGAATTGACCCTCCGGTGAATACGGCCTAAAATCCGGTGAATGTGTGTTATGAACTGTTTGCGTTTGTATAGATTATATAGGGACTATAAATAGACTATATAATAAAGACGTTTATGAACTCTACCAGAATGCTGACTAAAATTTTAAAAAGTCACTTCCGGTTTTGAGTTATTTCCCTTTAAACGAAAATTTATAGGCTTTCGTTTCCGGATAAAGGCTCAGAGACCACAAAAGCTGAAGCAGACTTTTTACTGATTTTATGTAACAGAAGGATTGAAGTTGTGCACATCGGTTTTTGTTTTTCGATTTCTGTATTAAAAATGGCGCTATATAGGGGTCAAAAATTAGAACGCCTAAAAGAACGAAAATTCACACATATTTCCCTTTTTAACTTGAAAACTAAAAATATTTTGTTAAGACATAATGAACAAAAGTTGTGCTCAATTGCAAGGGCTTTCATATAATGATATTCAAAAGGGGCTGGCCCCTATAATTAGGGCTCTATGGAACTTGAAAGTTTTTGCTTTATAACTCAAAAACGGTAAATATTTCGATCTAGATCTTACGAACAAAATTGTTCTTGAACACCTTTTTGTTCTGATGAAAATGCTGTTTTGTTCGATTATGCCGGGAATATTGCGTAAGGAGGCAAGGTAAACAGGTAGTGTTTTTCCGATTACATTCTCCTTACAATTATATAACACGCCTCCCTCGATAGCGCGGGGCAAAGTCGGTCACTGGGAATCAATCTGCGGGTAATCTAGCGACCCACAGTTATACACAAATAAAAACACAGAATGGTTAAATTCATTAAATTCATTCTTTAATGCATAAAATTGTATCTTAATACTATCTTTGTCCTATGAAAATATTATTTTGTTTGAGTCTAACGTATTATAGGAAAGAAAGCTAAACAGTTCTCATCTTGCTATTGAAGGAAAACTCTGTAGTCTTTATGCGCAGAATTGAAGTAAACTTGCCGTAAGTAATAAATATTTTACAATGCTGTATCATATCTCTTTTATTTAATTAGGTTCTAAACGTGTTCTTTGGTTCCCGTTCAGAGTATTCAATGGCATCATTTTCCTTTTATTAATCAAGATCTTTCCAAGAGAAAGAGTTTTAGAAAAAAGCACGAGTATCTTTTCTTCGTTAAAATATGAACACAAACAATATGAACGAAAACCATACACGCCCGGATCTCATAAAAAGAACTTTCAAAGAGTCCAATAATACAAATATTATTTACTGCGCGATTCTTTCATCTAGAACCCAGATTTTTAGCGTGTGTACCATTGCGTAATCTTACGATTACACGTGTCCAAGAAAATCTAAAGCGACACACCGCGGCGAACCATTGACCCCGTAGTCATAGACAAAATAATTGGTGTATTAAAACTATTTTACAATTAATGGAAAATTATTATTGTCGGATATTTGAGATTAATATGTTGGCTTATCTTTGTTTTAAATTTGATTGCGATACATGTTTATCTAAAACAGCTATCTAGGGTTTGTGTGTGTTTACAATTACGCGACCAATCATTCCTTCCATCGCTTGTTGACATTTATTTGCACAGCGTGGTCGAATGTTAAATCTAATTTCACAAACTTACGGAAAACATTATTTTCTGTAAGTAAATCGAATCTTTCAAGAATATTTTAAAATATCTTAGGTTAGACTTTAGAACAAAACGCTGGGGTATTTATTTTATATGTACATTAATCAATCTTCCAATTTTTATAGTTCGTTAGTTCAATGTGTAATTTTACTTTTCATTTTGACGATTCATAGTGTAAGGATTGGCGATCTGCGGTTACTTAACTTCAACCAATATTGATTTAAATGCACAAGCTTAATTTGTGCTTTTAACTGTTTAACACACAAATAATCTGTTTTCAACACAAATTTTCCCAAACACATTTTATTTTATTGGCTATTTCAGTTTTAAATTTTTAAGGAAAATCTTCCGAATCATAAGGATCTAATTAGAATTATGCTCAATGAAATGGACTAAACATCGATAAGTATCTCCGCACCTGTAAACTTCATAAGTGATTTCTGTGCTTGCACAATGATGCAAGATTTTAAAGCTATGAATTTAATTTGTGAAATAATTTATTCAAAACCTGTAAATGATTAGTAAAGTGTGCTTACCTTTTAATTTTGTTCCGTGATTTTAAAAATATCAGTAGCAGGTTATACAATGAGCATGTAAGTAGTAATAAACCCGCATCATATGTACGGAATCGAAAATTCTACCACGATAATTCAAAACATGAAAGGAAGCCGCCGGACATTATTCTCCAATAGATCACGAACGTCATCAAATAATTATCAGATCAGAAACATGTATCAAATTAAAAAAACTTTAAATGCATGTTTGGCTGTAGAATGAAATACTTGTTTAGACAGCATCGATATGTCGTCTTTAAAAGAAATAAACATTGTAAATTTCATAAAGTTGCTGATGAAGACGGTTTTTATAGCTAAGCGGGGCTATTCCACAGACCTCCCTACACATTAAACAACGTGATTTTAGCAGTAAAACAGGAAGATGATTTTGTTATTGTATATTCGTTTTAACTGATCAATACATATAACAAACAAATTTGTAATTTAAAAA